AATCATAAAGCATCATTCAAAGCTCAACTACAATAATAGTTTCTTACCTGCTTAGCTGTAGAGCCAGGATGTGAATTTTAACACCACCAGCCAAGGTTTAATATGCCTGTTGAATGTTTATACTATGTGAGCCACTTAAGCTACTAAATATTACTCTGAGATGTTGTATACTTACAGAAACATGTATTTAAGTAGTAAAATTGTGAATTTTAAGTATGGAGGAAAAACAAAAAAAAATCCCTGGTTTGCTGTTTTTTAAATGTCGTCATTTGTGTGTTTGTGAACATGAAGCACTTTCTCACACTGGTCACAGCTGAAGAAACTCACATCCACCGCGTTGCTCATCTGCTCTTTTATGCGTTTAAAAACCTCTGGTTGATTGCAGATGTTTGCCACAAGTTTGGGTCCAGATGCTGCTAAAGTACCACAGAAATAGAAGAGAAGAGGAGAACGAAAATGCTTCTCCTCTGTTCGTCCTTCTGTTTTTCTCGCATTAACGACATCTGCAGTATTTATTCTCCCTCTTAACGCCAATCCCACAGCGGGCGTCTCGTTTTACCCGACCACTGTCCCCGTTTCTTTCTTGGTTAAGTTGCAGTTGCCTTCCTTAGTGTTCGTTTTTTGCTGTCTCCAAACTGTTCTTGTTTGTTTCTCCCTCTGGGCATTTAAATAACTGTAATATAACTGTAACATATTTCCATAAAAAAGAAATGAAAATCAGAAAAGATGTGGTTTCTTTCACATTTCTCAGCTCACTTGTAATGCACGACATCAACACTAGAGGGCAGTAGAAGACCCAACGACAGAAATATTTAAAAGGTTTTTTTTTTTTACATTTAGGCCCTTTTGATATTTATTTAGCCTGTTAAGATAATTATCTGAATTTAGTACAATTTGCATTTTTGTTATTTTCTATGAAGCTTTATTAAGATTAGAACAAAGGTTAATTTCTCAGTTCTACATAAAAGATCAGCTAATTTCATATTGGTAAATATTCAGTCCTCATGGAAGGACTAAATGAATTGGATAAAACAAAATGACTCCTGACAACTGGAACAAAAATGCGTAGTTGTAATATTTCTAGAGTAAAGTAGATCTACAGGTCAGATCTACTTCCTGTCTAAATTGGCCCCTAATTTTAACCATACTGACCCAGAGTCTGCGGTGCAGATTAAATTACTGAATCCTGTCACATCTTCTCAAGTTAATGGTCACTTTAAGGGGTACATGTGTTTAAGCTCAAACACATGAAGATTTCTAGTTTGAAGCAGACTTTTAAATCCTGCAAACACTAAAGAACATAAGCTTTCTTAGGAAGTCCAATAGGCCCTTCTTGCAGACGCTTCATATTCGTTTCTCCAGTCTAGTTTTTTTTGTCCATGTGAACACCAAGGTATTTATACTCCTCAACCACCTTCACTTATTCTCCCATGTTAGTAGGATTCAACTTGTTCCTGTTTCTTCTGAAATCTACAATCATCTTAATGGTTTTGTTGACATTCAGGATCAGATGATTGTTTCCACACCGGTTTAACGAGGTTCACCAGCTCTCTGTACTCAGCTTTTGCTCCATCTTTGATGCACCCAATGATTGCAGTTATCCCAGTGTTTCTGCTGATGACGGGACTCTCTGGTACTGGTAGTCAGAGGTGTACAGAGTTAAGGAAAGGTGAGAGTACCGTCCCCCCCATGGTTCTCCAGTGCTGCTGATTACCTGGACAGGTGAACTTTAGACTCTCAAACTGATCTGTCAAGTAGACAATTATCAATTTCTTCACCTGAGTCTACTGTAGTTTCAGTAACCTCAGAAATCTCATCTGTGCATCACAAAAATATTTAATATTATTTATATTTTTTGCAGATAAAAATGTCAACGTATTATCTCTCTGGGTTCAAAGCTACACAAGTAATTTCATGTCAGTCTGAACAGGAACACATCCCTTAAAAATTTAGTGTAGCTTTTATACTTAAAAACACTATTGCAACCATAATATCCCACAGTAAGAAGACTTCAGGATGTTCAATTCAGTTTATTTATATAGCCCCAGTTCACAACATGTCATATTAAGGCTATTTACAATTCAATTAGATCATACAGTCAAATTTATTCAGAGTTTTCTATCTAAAGAAAACCAGTTGATTGCATCGACTCATAGACTTGAAGGCAATCCCTCACACTAAACATGCTTGTAGCGACAGTGGAGAGGAAAAATCCCTTTTAAAATGAAGAAACCTCCAGCAGAACCAGGCTCAGTGTGAGCGGCCATCTGCTGAGGCCGACTGGGGTTCAAGGAGAGAGAAGCAGAGACACAAAAAGCAGCTGTTAAAGGCGGCCCCGTCCAGGAAACACACAGCCAGGCAGACAAGCTACAAGCCAATTCCCATGTCAGAGGATGAAGAGAGCACATTCTAGCCAGTCAGAGATACAGGACCACACTGAAAAACAGGCCGATCTCGAACATCTATAAACAAAGGCTTTGATGGCAGCAGCACAGCTGATATTTCTCTCCAGGATGGAGTCACAGCCAAACAGGTGAAGCTACTATGAGAAAAAGCAAAGAGAGAGTTAGAGATTGATCTAACAGAATGATGAATAAGGGGTCCCTATGTCCTCCAGCAGAGTAAGCCTATAGCAGCATAACTATAGAGATAGCGCAGGATAATATGAGCCTTCAAGAAGGCCCTATGAGTTTCACTATCATTTGCCACCAGTGCAGAGCTTAATCAAACAATTGCAGCTGGGTCTGAGAAAACTATCAAGAACAGATTTAAAATTCTGAAGAAAGTATGAGGATGAAGATTTGATTGTTTCCATCTGTTCTCTAGATGTCCCACTTCCCTGCATCCTGTTACAATCCATCTTTGTTGATTGTTTCTCATTAGAGGGAGTTGGTTTGCTCCCAGATTTGTCTAAGAGCACTGCAATGAATCAAGCGTTTGATCAAAACATCAAACATGCCTCCCAACAATCCAGCAACAATCTGGTGATGGTCTGTGGATTTTCCAGTATCATGGAACTAATGATGAAGGAGATATAACATTAGAATATTGAAATGCTGGAGCTGAGGTCAGGAAAGCAGCACCCAGATATAAACCCAGGCGGGTTATTGTTCAAAACAGCTGCACACAAACACACTCCCAACTCTAACAAGACAATAAAAAAGTTCAGAGGTTTATCCAGCAGGTCAGAGAATATTACAGAAGTCTTGAAGAACAATGCAATATTTTTCTTAAGCCTTCGGAAATCCAAGTTGATCATCAGCTATCAAAGCATTTAAAAAAATAACCTTTCTTAGACAAATATGCTGATTCTTTATTTAAAAGCATATTTATTTCACATATTTACATTCTGAATAACATTTAGCAACATTCAGGTGTTTTCTATCAGGCACACCGTCACATGTTTACAAACCCTCAATCAGACTGTTTTACGGCCTTTCTGGCAGACTAATAAAAAACAATATGACTATGATGCTTTTAAGCATGGAGAGATCAAACCTTTTTGATTTTCACTTCAAAGTCTTTAAAGCCTTGGATCGGTTTCATAAGTCACTAAAACTTTATTGGACACGTGTTAATTAAGCATTCGCAACGAGAGATTTAGTGTCTCCACTGAGTGATGCATTTATGTCATTTAAAAATCTTATTTGTGTCTAATTTTACTCTTTTTCTTCTTTTAAACCTGCTTGTACTGTGTGTTGCACCTAGCAGGCTAACACTTCTTGTTTGTGTATATTGTTTTCTTTGTGCTGCTTCAAGGTCAATTACTGTAAGTAAATCAGCTGACGGTAGAACTTGGAAGCTGCTCAAGCAGGTCTCTAAAGATTACAGACGTATAAAACAGGTACACGCAAACCATGATGCAACCTCTAACATCTGATAATCATCTTTGTTTCCTCAGGGAGCATCTGGCGTTGCTCACTGCAACATTTCATGACAGCAACATGTTTTTCCAGATCTGCAGGTCGTTCAACATAGCAGAAATGCCAATCTTAGGGAGGCTTTAATTAGCTGCAGGATTGGAGACAAAGCAATTAATTTCTTTCAACAAAAACAAACCTCAGAATAAGAAATGCAGGCTGTTAAAAGATTTTACAATGTACACCAATGTACACATCCATTCATGTTGTTTTAGTGGGTTTGGATTGTCCCTTTATGTTGATCACATCGCTGGAAAGAAAAATAGAAAAAGGCTTACAAAAATAAAATGCAAAATATATAGCTTAGTATTTACATCTTCTTGGAAAAAGTAAATCCAGAGAATCTGATCGCAGTTTTATGAGTGGCGCTGAAAACTCACAGGAGTTTTAAGCTAACATTTGACAGCAGTTTTTACAACATCCGTGTGGAAATCGCAATGGGTAAACTGCAGTTGCTCATTTTTTCCACTAGGTGGTAAATATGCGTTAGCAGCCTTCGATGATTAATATTGGCAAAATTTTTTGGACAAATTTATACCTCCATACGGCAGTTTATTTTGAAAGCAGGATTTTAAAATTTCACATTACTTTTGTCTTCAGACATTTCTGTTTTAGTGTATCAAGAACGCTATTGCAAGATAAAACATTTTAAATTACATACTGAATTAAAAAGTATAAAATTTTACATTTGCATGTTTGCTATAGACATTCTAAACTAGCAAATTTTGTGATTTATTTGCCATGCTTATAGCGCCTGCTTCCTGCCTTGTTTTTTCACTTTAAAGGAGGAGCAGTACAGTGCCTCCTAGTGGCCTGGGGGAGTTATAACATGTTTTTTATCTTTTAATAGAGCACATGTTTGAAAATGTTTTCAGAAAAACTAAAGAAAGTGAAGAAGGCTGCGAACTTAGTTGAGACTTTAAATAAACCTTAATTCAGGTTGATTTTTTTCAATTTAATGTAGATGATCCCTCCAATGAAGTATAAACATTCATAACGCTGGGAAAAAAAATATAAATGTAATTGTTCTGCAATGTTTACGTTTCATTTGCGGCTTTAAAGTCATAGGGAAACCACAGCTCTCCATATTTTCCTCTAAATGGTAGAGATTTGGATATGAGCTCTTTTGTGGCCAGATGCTAAATTTCTTTACATCTATTAATGACAGTCAGACTTAAATCCATGACGTTTAATGTAAATATAACCTAAACCACTTTTACGACGGGGCTCATAAAATACCAACCGCTGTGTCTTAGACAAAGATGATAATGTTTGTACTGGAAACCCCTTCCTGACGTCTGGTGGTTGGAATTATGTCCAGTTATGCCTAATTACATGAATCTGCAAACTAAAAGATATATCATTTAGATGTGTTATACTTAAATTAACTATATCCAAAACATTTCATTCTTGCCTGAATCCACAAACAAATATTTTATAAAACTTTAAATACATTCAGGCAGAAAGGATTTAATTTAACACATTTTGAATTAAAAGTTTACTATCTCTAACGTTTTGGAGAAAAATTTCACTTTGCCTAAAGGGGTTTCGCAGGATAGAATATGTATATCAAATGTATTAAGCTTTCTAAATAGCGAAAATAGTGACAAACTGCAAATTCAAACTTTGCTGTTATGCAAAATTCAGAAATAACAGAGATTTACCCCTTAAAAAAAAAAAAAAAAGTTTATGCAACACTGCATAACCGTCTAAGCTGGAGGATGGTCAGCTTCTAGGTGAATTTTCTCTAACATTTGGAAATTGCTGTTGGAACTGATCTAATCAGAAAAGCTCTTCAACCGTTGCTAGAATTAAAGCACTGTGGTCTCAGGAAATGTTTGCAGATCAGAAACAGTTGGGTCCATACTCCGTCCTCATGTTTTCAGTAGGTCCCTTCTGCCAGGTAAACCAGTGTTATCAAGATTTTGTTCCGTTACTGATCCCTTAAGACAAAAAGAGGAGACGTCTCAGGGCGGTCTGATGCTTGCAGCAGTTTGATCGTTTTTGAAAAACCACGCCGCCATGATGTCAGTTTCCTTCCATCAACCCTCTAACTGACGAGAAACGCTCCGAAGAAGCTGCTCTTCTCATCCATGTCCACAGCAGAGGCATTGGTGACGGTCACGAACAGGCGGTCGCCGGTCGTGAGCGGGAACAGCCCCCCCTGGTGGGCGGAGTGCAGAGAGAAGTCGGAACCCCGAGACCAGCAGGATGTCCGGCTGGTCTTCATCAGCAGGATGGGGACGGGGTAGGAGTTCACCTGGGGAGAAAAGGTGGAGACAGAAAATAGAAAGAAAGCAGAGAAACAATGTTTTTGTTAAATGCTCAGTCAGCTGCTGGTAAGTCCAACTTAAAACAGGTTCTCTCTCAAAAACTATAAAGTCTGAATACTTGGAAGCTGATTGATTATTTGGCATTTGCTGGATTTTTATGTCTAAAAAGTAATAGCTCAAAGGAAAGTGGCTTTAAAAACACGTCGTTTAGCAAATGGAAAGAAAAGTGATTATTAGAAAAGTGATTACTTAAAAAACGCCTTGAAATGACAAAGCATTAAGACTGCTTTTAAACAATTTAAAAACATTGAAGGGCTTTAAACAACGTATAAATAAAGAACCCCTTTTGATTTAAAAAGGCAGCACTGTTGCTTCACATAGAACAAAATAAGGGCTACTGATTCTAATGAAACAGCCTAATCAGATTTATTATTTATAGTTCACTCTAAACACATTCAACTATCCATAAACTCATTTTTAAATGAAGTGCTGGTACAATTGATAATCATAAAAACTTTTATTCCTTTTAAATTAAAACAGTATTTATGGCTTAAAGAATGAACTTCTGGGAGTCGTAGCATCTACGTTGGTTTAGAAAAATAAAAGAACAAACACAAACCAGAACCAAAGCATGTGGGGAGTCCAGCTAAGGCTGTGATCTGAATTTTTATTTTCCTCGACTTCCTCACATGTTTCCTATGATAATATGTCTCCATGTTAGAAAACTGTTCCCTCCAACAAGCCATGACTTTGCTTTTCAAAACAAACAAAAAAAGCTTCACAGCATTAGTTTACCACACCAGTACTTGCTGTTCTTATTGAACGATTGTCACTTTTCTCAAGAACTGCTGGTCTATTATTTCATAAAAGAAGACATACTGAAACTGTCAGGCTCCACATTTGTCATTAATTTTGAGAGGCACAGGATTTTGGCTAGGATTGATTTAAATCATCAGTCTGGTAGGAATTTAACAGAAACTAAAATCCTAGAGCTGAAGACAGGCTGGCTTCGCTCTGACAGGCTGGGATCAATTTTCCCCAACATCAGAATTCGATTTTAAAAGGTTTAAAATCTTTATTCAAATTATACCAAGGGTGGTGAGTCATTAGAAGCAACATTTAGGCAAAGCTAATTAGTAAAATGTGGCAAAAATCAAGCAAAGTCCAGAAAGAAGAAGCATTGCGTCTACCTAGAGTCCCTTACCTTCTTGTAGACGTATTGCAGCAGAGGTTTCCCTCTGTCCTCTACCTCTTCACCGTCCTCCTCCAGGGAGTGGGTGTGCCTGAAGTACGTCTGGGCGTAGACGTAGTAGAGGCCGGGCTGCAACACCACCAGCTCCCCGTCCAGCAGCTGCACGTCCTGCAGGAACGCAAGGCCCTTCTGACCCTCCCACCAAGTGATCTTTTGACCCTGAACCCGTCGCCCAGCAGGGACTGGAGCTGAAATCAGAAACATTAAACATTTAAAGTAGGACAAACAGACAGCATTTCTTATAAACATTGGAGTTTAGAAAATCTATTTGATATAAACAGTGTGTAAGTTTGCAATACTGCAAATTAAAGCATTATCTTAAGAGGCTGGGGCTTTTTAATTGTTAAATTGGTAACTCCACATTCGTTTTACTCAAGGAAAAAAAAAATACTTTCATGAAAATAAAAAAAAAAGTCAATGGAAATTAAATATACACTTATTGTTAACAGACAGTACAGTTAGCATTGCAGTACAATAAGCAGCAACAAGATTAAAAAACTGAACATTCAGTTTAAATATTTGCTTCATTTGTATAATATGTCAGCTAAAGTGCACAGTGAGAGAGAATAACAAAATGAAGCTCCAACTTAGATGAATTACTTTAATTCAATAAGAAACTGAATTAAGTTTGACCAATTTAATTTAAGTTGTCAATTTATAAATTAAATAAATTAAAGTTGGATCAACTGGATACAATTATTGAAGTGATCCATTTAAGTTGCAGCTGCATTCTGTTTTTAATGTGCAGCAAAGCTAGATGATACAGGAAGTTAGAACAATTTAACTTTTAAATTACCATAGACTTAATTTGTATACAGGGTTTATACAGGAATAAATACTCAAATTTAAAGCATTTTAATGCTCTTAGAAATAATTATAATGCCACCAACAGGTACCAGTCGATAGGCTGAAGCCAATTCCTCGTTTCCCGCCACTTTTGTTGAAATTAGCTTTTTTCCCCCCTTTCTCTAGCTTTTTCTCCGACTCAACCTTCTTTCCTGAACATACAGCTTTGCGATCATCCGGAAGCAGTTCCACGCAAATATATTGTTATATATTATGTCTGACGAAATTGTTTTTAAATGCCACAATAAACACATTTAATGAATTTTAAGGCCTTAATTTAAAAATTATAATTTAATGACTTTTAATTATTTTTAATGACCCTGGTAAACCCTAGTGTACATTAAATTTTTTTTTAGGTTAGAGAAAAGGTTAAACAATTGTTTACTGTTCGATCATGTTAACTTAGAGGCTGGCATGAATAGCTGCTAATTTGAAGTTAAACGTGTAGAAACTTTGTGCACTGGTTAGTAGGTGCATTGGTTAGTAGGTGCATTGCTTAGTAGGTGCATTGGTTAGCCGTACGACCCATCTACGGAGGCCTTAGTCCTCCACGTGGAGGACCAGAGTTTGAATCCAACCTGTGGTTCTTTGCCACATGTCTCTCCCCCTCTCTAATACCCCCCGTCCTGTCAGCCCACTGTCAAAAAAACTAGCCACTAGTGCCGTAAAAACCTAAAAATATAAATAATAAAGCGCAGAAACTTCAAACTCTGACAAAATATTGTTTTGAAGTTCCTGGGATTTTGTTTTATAGCACATTATATCCATCCTTCCATCATCTACATGCAGCTGTTTGTGCAGGATGACCATTTCTACCTGTTATTAGGGTTGGACCTGGACAGTATTTACAGTCCATCGCAACAGCATGAGATAAACAACCAGGATAGAGTGACCAATTAACCTCAGTGTAATAGATTTAGACAGTAGGAGGTAGTGATGGATTAATGAGGCATCTGGAGGCATTTGGACACTTTGCCAAACTGTATTAATACTGCTTTGATACTATCTCACAGAATACTGACACCTGTTGGACTTTTAAACACACTACAGGCAGCTTATTTGACAGACTAAACTGAACTGATTTGATGACCTAGAATAATGATATAATATAAGCTATTCTAGGCTATATTGTATTATTTCATATCTGTATTTAAATAGAAAATATCTGCGATATTTTTAGATGCAGCCAATAAATAATATGATTATATATGATAATGTGAAAATTTAGGGGGAAATATGAATGAGGATGTTTGTGGACTAAGATTTTAAATCATATTTTTAAAACAATAATTACAGTAAAACAGTAAATAAACTAACAGTCAATTTGAAATTAACTTTAACACAGATCATTTAAATAAAAATGCAAAGGCTAAAACGTTCCTATTCCTTTAAGGCTGCTCCAAAATTCTTGATAATTTTATTTATAAACCGCAAAAGATGAGATTTATTTTAGCAAATGCATTATGTTGACAGGTACATATTTAAAAAAACAGTTCAGGGCGTCATTCAGTTAGAAACAACTCCTATATCGGTCACATGACTTTCTTGAAACGACACGCCCAGTATTTTGTTCTATGGGCTCCATGCATGCAGCGAGGCATCAGTGTTGCTGGACTCATCACTAGTAGGAGGAGAAAGAAGAAGCTAGAAAAGTTTCCACACAGCGTGCAAAGGCTCTGCAGAAAGACCTGATTCAAACTGAGAGCCTTTTTTCTGCACAGCCACAGTTCCATGCTGTATATTAAAAACATACTAAGTTGTTCATATTTACTGGGTAATACAGACTAATATAATCACTGTTTTTCTACATTCATACAGCTTGCCTTTATCTTCCAAAACACAGTGATATATTTGTTTTTAAGAACTTAACATGTAGCAGATGCTTTATCTTTAAGGATCCCATTTTGTTTGCGCAACAAAACATGAATTTTAAATTACTTTAAAAACACGATTCTTTCTATCAGTAACACTTTAGTTTCCTTTAGAGAGCTAACCTGGGTCTGTTTAGGATTTTCTTACCTCCACCACTGCGCTCCAGTTTGGCTACAAAGCTGCCCGTAACATGAGCAGCGACTTTGGGGCGAGGTGAAGCCCTATCGTCCGTTACAAGCGAGGGCAGCACACGGGATACTTCATCTAACATAGAGATAAAAAAGTAGAAAAAAACACAGAGATGGAGAAATATCTTTAAATGCTATGTTGAGTGTTACATTAAAAAAAATCTAGACCTCACTAAGGCTTGAATTTAACCTCAGATAGGCAACAGACTATGTTTTTTTTCCCTTTATATCCCACCATAACACCATGACTGACAGCTGGTCGGTCATAGAAGTTTTGTTGCTGTTTTTAGGATAATTAATGAACCAGTTTGAACAAAACTTTAGATGTCAGACAGATGGCAGAACATTTTACTTAGAAATCCGTCATATAAAAGAGTTCATCACTGACTTGATGACAAGAGGTTTCATTTGTCCTTCGGCTGCAAAACCTGCCCAGATCATTAATCTTACATCACTATGTTTTATAGATGACTGAGGTGGGTTTTTTTTGTTTGTTTGTTTAGTTTATTTTTTACTGTTTGTATTTTATTCCTTTTCTTAGAGAGAACAGGAATTCCGATCAACCCTTTCCAAACAGCCCATAAAACGACTTCTTTTCACTTGCAGTGTCTAACATAGAGCTCTTGAGTTTTATGTCTTTGAACATCCACTCCTAAGGGATCAGCAGATGTTTTAAATATTTTCCACTTGTGGATAATGTTTCTGACTTTATATGGAGATCGGCTTGTTTTCCAGTGTGGTCCTGTTTCTCTGACTGTGACTGGGTGGATGTGCTCTCTTCATCCTCTGACATGGGAATTGGCTCGGAGCTCGTCTGCCTGGCTGTGTTTCCTGGATGGGGCCGCCTTTTACAGCTGCTTTTTATATCTCTGCTTCTGTCTTCTTGAATCCCAGTCAGCCTCAGCAGATGGCCGCTCACACTGAGCCTGGTTCTGCTGGAGGTTTCTTCCTGTTAAAAGGGAGTTTTTCCTCTCCACTGTCGCTACAAGCATGCTAAGTGCGAGGGATTACATTCAAGTCAATGAGTCGATGCAAACAGCTGGTTTTCTTTAGATAGAAAACAGCGACTAAATTTGACTGGATGATCTGGTAAATTGAGATGACGTGTTGTGAATTGGCGCTATAGAAATAAACTTCTCAGTCATCCAGGTCCTATTCATTCCAAAAAAATAAAAAATAAAATAAACAATCCGGTGGACTTTTTTTTCCCAAGTTTGAGGACATTTCGCCTCCCATCCAGGAACCTTTTTCAATTCAAATTAAATCAAAAAAGCTTTTAAATGTCTTCAAACTTGGAAACAAAGTCCAGTGGATTTTATTTTTACTTTTTTGGAATTTCTCTAAGGTAATTGCAGAGATCTGTCCACCTTAGCATAGTGTCAGCAAACATCACACTAGAAGCCTTTTTTCTATGATATCTCTGATCTGCAGCGCCTGGCTGCTACTTTCATTTAATTTTTATTTCGGTTTAACTTAATAAATAGAAACAAATCCCACAATGTGTTTGTTATTTCCTTCTGGTAATATTTTAACTAATCCATGAACCTACTAGAAACCAGACTGTTATTCCATCATGTCATAAAAAGAGTGTTTTACTTGTTTTTTCAATTATCGCATTGTATCTTTTTTTGCATTTGGAATCAGTTTTCTCACCTCTCACTGCTGATGAAATCCGCCTCTGGTAACGCTGAGACAGAGACTGCAGGAAGAACAGATGCAAAGAATTATGAAGCGTCCCACGCTGTTTGTGCTTTTTGCTTGTTCCCATCTTGATAAGTTACACGTTTTTCTGTCTGACACCTTTCAATTGAAATGTGTCTTTAACAAGTATTGAGGAAGACTCAACATGTTGTTGGAAACAGAACCTACAGGACATAAAACTGGAGTTTGAACTTGTTTCTGCAGCAAAGAGCAATCAGCTCATTCCACAGGCCTGCCTGGCACACTGCTGTTTGACTTTGACCCTGAAAATGTGCTGAAATCAGGACCAGGAAGTTTCCTTCGCTTAAAAACAAGAGGCTTTCATGTTCAGACGGGCAGAAGATCCTTTCCTGTAAACTGATCCCTCTTTTCTTCCTCATGTCATACGTTCCTCTGCATTTTTAGAGTAAAGCACATTATGCAGTTAGTTTGAGTTGGTCAAACCAAAAAAGCAGGATTAAAATTAATATTTGAACATAATGATTTTGTTTTTAGATGGCACGTGAATTTGTTTCAATGCATGATTTTGTTGTTGAGTATCGCTTTAGTTGTAAATAAACATAACAGTTAATAGATGAATTAATCAATTAATAAACAAAACCATCTGATTGCACAATGTTTCAGCTCCCTTAAGGCAAACCTGCAGAATAATTTAAAGGAAACATCAGATACTCCTGTTCCTTGTGTGCAAAAAATCTAAAAAAACAGCAGACAAAATGCAAAACAAAACATGAAAAAAATAGATAAAGTAAAACAAGATAACAGCTGAAAATCACTAACAGGACTGTGGGCTGAAAAGCCACTCAGAGCGGAAGAAGCCGTCTTTTTTAAAAAGCAAATAAAAAAAAGAGAGATTCCAGTTTGCAAATGCACTCCATGAAAAACATACATTTTTGGAGGCATGTCTTTATCGTCTGCAAACTAAAAACTGAACTATTTGTCCATAATATCAACCAGTATAGATTTAGGCTGCATATGTGGTGTTTTACAGCAGGAGGGACCGATACACATTTACTAAATAGATGACATCGATGGGAAAGAACATTAATAGGATGTGATATTGGAGCTTCATCTTTAGGTCTGTCAGATGGAAGATGAAAACAGGTCTCCCTCCAATTTTTACAAAATGAATTAGGACAATAAACACAATTTTTTTATTATTATCACACACCTTGGTTATATGGTTTTAATTCCAAGGTTTTTAAATGTAGTATATCTTTCAGATTCATTCATCCAATTTTTAAGCTTTGTTCTCCTCTGCTGTGTCTCGCTTTGATTTCATTTCTGAAGCCTTGAGCTCCTGATGTTGTATGAAAGAAAAGTGTTTTAAACCCCTTCAAAACAAATTTAACTACTAGTATTAATATTAAGATGGTACATTGAAACCTGAACCTTCTTCTCTGTTTGGATCGATGCTAATTTGGTTTAAATTGTGGGAATTTTCAAAGACAGCTGACATGTTTCTCATCAAATTATTAGCAACCTTAGAGCCTCCAATGAGGCTGGATAGAGCCAATGTGGTTAAAACCTCCTTTTAACATAAAGAGAAGCAGAACCCGATCCATTAACTGGATCCATACATGGTATTTTCTGCTGCTTTCTTAATTTTCCATTTGCCAGATATGTGACAAGGTTGTTTCTTTATAGGTTATAAAATATCAATACCAAGTCGGAGGTGCTTTACAAATAAAAAAAAAAAAGACAACCATTAAGAGCCACAGTGCAACTTGAGAGGTAAGTTCCTATGTGTTTTTTTAACCACTCCTCTGTCCTCATTGCTAAATACATCACTAGTTTTTCTCACTGGGAACATGGAATATAGATTTGGCATGAAAAGGTTTCCAGCATGGTCAGTCCTGCTTTAGGTTATAAGCCCATTCCTATAAAGGCCTAGATAAACTGATGATGCCAAAAGACACCAGAGGAGACCTCTTCAGGCTCAGAAACCACAAACATGTGGCTAGTTTTTTTTTATGTCAAAGTGTAAAAAGGGTCTTGCAAAATCAAAGTGCCATGCATAATTTATTATCACGAGGCAAACCACAGGAATCTGATACAGAAATATTTGGGAGATTAATTGGGGAGTTTTATGATTTTTCTTGATTTCTAAATGAGACTCCACATTGATATAATGATTTTTTTCATATTCTGATTATTTCTCAGTAAATTCAACCTGCAAATCTGAAAAAAAGCAGAATTAAGTTATTAAATAGCAGCACTGGAAAAAGAGAAAGACAGGAATAAATAAGAATATTCAAACGAGAGGAACTCAGCGGGTTTGTGCCTGAGCGGAGCAGGTGAATGCATTCCTGTGCTGAGGATCACATCGCAGCCATGAAGGAGCTCATTGTACCTCTGTGACAGAGATTTGGATCATTTCAACATTTTTTCTGCTGCCAATGTTCACAGGAGGCCACTGATAATCACATTAATAAGAATAGCTTAATCTCCCCTGGTTTCCAGATTTGAAAATCAGTTTTTATTAATCTCAGCTTCGTGTCGACTTCATAAGGGACCTAATCCACAACAGCCCAGAAGTATGGAGACAATTATTGTTTTTTCCCAAGTTTAAATTAAGTTATTCCTTAACAAGAAATAACTGCCAGTGGTAGAAAGTTTGTCTTAATATTACCCAATACATGTCATTGTTTTAAACTGTACTTTTGGTGAAGCGTTTCTCTTTTCAGAGGAGGCGCAGGAGGGATTGAAAATGTCTGCAGAACCCAGAGTGTGGGAAGTTATAATGCAGAGCAGAGGAGGCTAAATTAACTTGTTGAACCACAGCAACTTGCCAAAAAATGACAGTATTTCCAAACCAATCAACAAACACTGGTGGGTAGAACAGTTTCTGCTGCTAGGTAAGACACAGAGTCGCTAAGTTTTCCCACTTGTGTTTTGTTGTATAGTCTGAGCTCCTGTATTACCTTTTCTATGAGCAGGTGAAACTGCTGAGTGACCTGCCAGCAGAGATCACCCTGCACAGCACTAATGCTCTGCAGATCAGAGCCCGTCAAACAGGAAACGCTGCTTCTGGCGAAGGTCTCTTTCATCTGTGGAGACAAAAAAATAAATAAATAAATTTCAAACTTTTTGAGGACGTTCTCCAGATTAGATTGACCTTATTCATAAAACAGCTTGATGCTTGTATTTTGAGCTTATATGAGATGCAATAACCATCTTTCAAAAAAACTGAGTCAACATGAATGTTTCCTGGCAGGTGTCCAGTTCTTTGCTTCTTATCTGTTTAGGTTTAATTTCCCACTTATTGCTGCTTCATCTCATCTGGGTTAATGATTAATTGATGTAAACAAGAACCAGAAGTCTTTCTGGAGTAAATCCAGATTAGTAGAAGATATATGTGCATGCATGTTCTGCAGAAACTAAAAGAAAAAAAAAAGCCAGGTCTTCCTTCAAATGCGTTAACATGCATGGTTTAAAATAAGAATCCTTAAAAAAAAAAAGAAAGTGTTAAGTTTGCATGGCCTGGTGTGACCCGTTGTGCAGAACATAATAACCCAAGTACCCTGGAGGGCTTCAGCAAAAACAGAGCGTGTTACAGGTTTAAACAAAAGATATTTCTATAATAGATCTCATGCAAATGTGCGCAGAAGATGCAGAAGCTAATCAGTTCCTCCAGGATCAGTTTTGCGCACAGCGCGCCATGCGCAAAGCCAGAGCGCGTCTCCGCTTCATCAACCAACAACTTTCACAGCTTCCTCACCGAGTTTAGAGCCGAGGTGAAATGCAGCACCGTGATGGTGACGACCACCGTCTGCAGCAGGACCGCCACCAGCAGCAGGACGCCGAGTTTCGGACCAGAGCCCGTCATAACGACAGACCGCCGTCCGGTACCCGAGCAACGCGGCCGCGTGACCCTCTGCAGAGCTCCACGACTAGAACAATGGCTCTCCCCGCTCCTTCATACAGAGGGAGGAGGAGGAGGAGGAGGAGGAGGAGGAGGAGGAGCTGTTCCCTCTTTGAGTTGTTCCAGCACGGAAAGATTATTGTTTCATTTCTGCGCTGAGAAAACACAGATAGATTTCTATAGTTCATTGTGAGGTTCATATCTGCGGATCTTTAAAAGCAGAGGGACAAAAACACTTCTGGCACAATCAAAGCCAGTAGAATGGCAAACCTTTTTTCTTTTAAAGGCAAAAATCGATTACATCTTATGATTAAAAGATCAGAACAAACCTTCTGGTTTCTTTTGGCAACATAAAGATGGGAAATGGTGACTAAAAACAAAAGGCACATAATAGAAAACAGCATTTTTTCTTATTTTTTGATTGTCATAACAGTCTCAAAAGTACAGAGCAACAAAATGAAATCTGTGCATTTAACCCAGTGGGCTGCCATTGTGCGGCGCGTGGAGAGCAGTGTGGGGTTAAGGGTCGTTGCTCAGGGAGTCAAGGCTGCAGTCTGAGGGGAGGGAGGGGTTTTGAACTCAGAACCTCAGGATTCCAAGCTCTACGCCCTCACCAATAGGCCGCCACTCCCCTTGACTCCTTAATTGCATCATGTGATTGACAGGAGCATCTTCACAATTACAGGAGCAACTAAGATGTCAGATTGTTTCTACTTACCGAGTAAAATCCAGTCTGCTCCAGGAATCCAGTTCTCTGTCGACCTGTTCCTAAAGTTCATCTGAGGATCCCCTCCACTTATTCACTCATTACTCCTCTGGCAGCTCCTCTGCCTGGACACCCTTTCAGTCCACCACCATCACTCACATGCCTGTCCAGCCTTTAAGCTCCACCATTATTCCCATCCTTCCCTGAACACACAAGCATGGACCAGCCAGCACTGTTAAACACCCCTACCCGCCTCAGCTTCTGTAAATTATCTTATCTTCTAGTAAAATCTCTGATCAAAAATTGTCTCTGCTTCTGTCTCCTTGAACCCCAGTCGGCTTCGGCAGATGGCCGCTCACACTGAGCCTGGTTCTCCTGGAGGTTTTTTTTTCTGTTAAAAGGGAGTTTTTCCTCTCCACTGTCGCTACTAGCATGCTTAGTGTGAGGGATTCCCTTTGAGTCAGCTAGTTTTACTTAGATAGAAATCTTTGAATCAACCTGACTTTATGATCTGGTTGAATTGTCTCTGTAAAGTGCCTCTATGGTGCTGAATTGTGAATTGGCGCTATATAAATAAACTGAATTGAATTATCACTATCATTAATATCAACATCAAAAATAACTTAACATTGTTCCCCTTAACAATCACCCCTCCTCAGTGCTGACCTTTGACCTTAGGAAAGATTCATAATCTGACTCCTATGAAGTAAACCTTTATGTGTTTCTATTTTGACCATAGTTGTTATCTGAACATACCAACCCCATAGAGGTGGATTTAAGAAGTTTGGGACCCAAGGTGAAGGCAAGCATGGGGTCCTCTGAGATGAGAATACAGCACAGAAAACAACAGGTCAATACCCCAGATACAGACTGTAGTAAGCTTTACCCCTCTCTTCCTGTCACCTTTTACTCGTTGCCCTCCTCTCACTTTTTCTTTCTTCTTTTTCTCTGTCTTTGTATTTATCTCCCTTTTGTCCTCATCTTTTTCATTAGTTGTCTTCCCAAACAGGTTTTATTTTGCAAGTCTTGGCCTCAGCAAATCTTGCAATGAGGAGATCCATATCCACTAACTTAGGAACTTCTGAGAAACCCCCAAGAAGTCTGAGGTTTTCCTGGAAATTCAACATGTAAACCCCAAAAACGCGTAAATTATTGAATTCTTATCCTACTGTATGTAGCAAAAACCAATGAAATTCAAAGCGTATTTCTAAACGAACAAGCTGCTTTCCTGTATTCAATGGGATAAAGAGATAATTATAAATACAGTGAGGAAACAATCTCAACTATTAATGGTTTCTCTCCATATGATGAACCTTCCCTAACAGGTGCTGATGTCATCGCTTCGCTTGCTGATGGCTGATGGCTGATGCTGCTGCACTTTTGGTAACTGTGAGGACAGCTTTCTGATTTCCTCCTTCTTTCTCCTCATCTCAGCTTCTTTTCTTCTTATTTCATCTTTTTTTCCACTCAGCACTTCCCGCCGTTATTTCAGTGTTTAACTGGGGATTGGTGGATGATCCGCAGAAATTCTGAATGCTTTTTAGCAAAAAGATTTTAATCAAAAACATAATTATCGTGCATAAAAATGTAAAAACTGCATTGACCATTCATGTTCGCAGGTCTCAGTCCTGATCCGGATACCTTCACTGAATGTTATCGCTGCTTCTCTCTCCTCCTGAATCCTGTCTAATGATTTTTGAAATAAAGGGCACTCAGGTCAAAAACAAAAGGTTTCTGATATAAGAATAGTAGATGCTAAGTTGGTGATGTCATTCTTTGAGTGCTAATTTCCAAGGGAACACAATGGTACATTAAACTGCTGTTCTTTAATGCTGCAAATGTTAAGAGATGATTGAAATTCTATTATTCTATTCTATTTGATTTATCTTCTTTTTTCCTAACATAAGTCATAACTTATGGGTTTCACAGTGGAACAAAATCACAGCTTTAAAACAGTTATAAAGGAAGACTTTCTTTTTCTGTCAGACCTCTTCAAGCAGGGAGTTTCCTAGCCGAGGGGCCCGGGATATGGTGACCTTTAAGGCCTGTCAAAGATTTAGGAGCCACATTAGTGGGGCTCTTTTTAAGAATCTGTAGCAGTCAGCACTGAGTCAGAAGATTACAGATAAAGGCCGGAGCTAAACAAGACGTGCATCCAGTCCTAACGCTGTCTGAAGGCCAACAAGGACAACAATGTTGCCCCATCTTATCACAATTCACCAGATCAGCAAGTCTGGGGTGAAATAAAAGCACGGATGACTTCACTGTACCAAACAGAACAGTCGCTTTTTTTTATCTAATCCTAAAGAAAAACTCAGGGTTGGGAAAATGAAAATTAAGGCTGGGGAAATCCCTCACTTTAGCTTATTAAACTAAAACCACATATTTTCAAAAACAGAGCTCTCTGAGTCTTGTGTTGTCTGCAGCTGTGTTTTCTTAGTCAGAAGTCAACACTTCTGACTCAGTGTAATATAAGGTCATCTTTAGTCTGCAGAGGACTGCTAAGAAAATCCATAGGATCCTTCTCATCACCATAATCAGATCAGAAAACCTTCATGAGGTTTTCCAGCTTTTTCTGTCCTACCATCACAAACGTAAACAAGTCTTGTTTCTGTTTTTTTAAGCAGAGAAAAAGATGTCTCTCATATCAATTTCACTGCTGGTTGCAGACCAAACAAGGCAACCCATAGTTGTGATTTGGAAGGAAAACACTTGAAGCAGGGATACAACAGCAATCCTATTAAGACATGGGAATGAACCTGAACATCAGAGATTCAAAGCTCAGGCCGTGGCATTGCAAACATGTTAAAAAGAGGCTCTGGTCAGGCGTGAGTACATTTTCAGGCGACATCTAAAGTGTTTTATGAAAAATAAAACACTTTAGAAAAATCTCTGACCCCATGAGTCCCATTTTTACATGATCGTAGCATCATGTAGGGATTAACTTGTTATTTTATGTAGGGATGGACATAAGCCCTGAACACACTGTAAAAACAACAATCAAAAGTTTTGGAAGAAGCTGTTGACTGGAGAGAGGAAGGATCTGCTGTAGCAGTCTGTATTTCAGCAGATCTAAATATGCTTCTGATTGTAGACGATGAGTTGTACAGCAGTCAGATGAGGAGGATGCTCAGGGTTGTTTGTCTTGGTCTTGATTGATGAATGCTACTTTATATTTACCTAGAAAAAAAACACTTTCTTCATCAGTCTGAGTTTGAATTCGAGTCAGTCAAATGTGTGATAATAATGTTCCGTTCGGTCAATAAAAATGTTCAGTAACAGGTGATATAACAGCGTCAGTTTTTTTTTCTTTCCATTTTTTTCTGAAAATAAAAAATAAAAAAAATCACCAGATGTTTTAAAGTTTAATCCTGAAATTTGTTCTTTCATTCTATCAATAATTCCCTTGAATATAAAAACAAAAGATCCTCAATTATCATACATTGATCTATATGCACTAGAATGTATTTTACAATACTTAGAGGGCTGTTGTTTATTCTTTTAGATTCCTTATAAATAAATGGAAATACTTATTTTAAAAAGGTAAGTACAATAGATAATAGACTTTTAAATTCTTCTGTTATTCTATAAATCACTTATTGGATCAGCACCTCAATACAAAACAGATTTGTTGTCAGTGTATCAACCTACCAGACCACTCAGGTCTTCTAGTTCCTGCCTACTCTGTTCACCCAGAACTAGAACCAAACATGGAGAAGCAGCATTTTGTTCCTTTGCTCCACTGATCTGGAATAAACTCTCAGAGGACTGGAAAAGGGCTGCAAGCCCAAGATTTTATTAGTTTAAGGTTGTTGCCCAACTGTTTGATTTGTTTTAGAAAAAAGGACCCAGTGTTTAAGGCAGACAGACAGCAAAGGCATCTAAGGCAGAAACCTCTGCAGGAAGAGAACACCTGTTAGTGACCACGTTAATCTGACAGAGGATGATTATAAACGTGAGTCACTAACCTTATCTTAAAATTCAGTCCATGCCCAGAGGACGAGGACGGTTCAATTCAGTCAGATGTCAAAATGACACGGCAGATTCTACCCAAAGAGTTCCAGGTGGGGTAGTCCCAGACGACGGAGAACAGGCAGGGATCAGAATCGAGCAGACGGAGGAAGGCAGGACAATCCAGAGGGCAAAAGTATCTGTCTTGTAAAGTCGAAGCTGTCAAAGACGTTCACAGGAGTCAGGGACAGAGATCCATAGAAATACCGAAGATGTCATGATCGGTTTAATGAATCTGACCCACATGCAGAGTAACCATCAGAGAACACAAAGACATGTTCAACTGGTTTATTTGTAGTAATGAGAACTGGCATTGAGTCTGGAACTC